GTTCCTTTCATTCATTAAATTGATCATTATCTGCTTTTGGCAGCATATGCTGGACATCAAATATTGTTTTTCAACATAACTTTCCTTGTATTTATCAGAAAATCATGATAGAGATCTCTTCCTCTGTTTTATCTTATTTTTATGTGTGTACTGAATCCATCTTTGGCACTGAAAATCCCTGAGAAAGAAATAAGTTAGATGCAAAATTTAACTTTGTTTTGGGAATTTTGTTTCTTCAGTGCAGACCAGTGTTTCTAGATATAAACTGCTATTTTTCTAAATTAGCAATGTGGAAATTTTGTTTTAATCTTAAGTACGAATAATGTTAATACAATTTTATAATTGAGCCAAAAATCATTCAGGGGTTTCAAAAACCATAAATGTCTGATTGACTCTATTGTGCAGCTGTAGATGCACCTATGACATATAATCTTAGAGACAAGGGACATACTGAAAAGTTTTTGGCCTGATTCAGATTCCTTTTAAATAAAGGAATTATAATAATAATTATTAATATTAATAAGATTTCAAAATCAGATGTAATGACTAAACATAATTTTTTAAAAGAAATTGTTTGGTCATTCCATCTGATTTTGAAATCTTTTCAGTATTTCTTCATGTATCTAAGTCAGGTCTGTATAGAAGATAAAAGGTACATTTGTCTTGACAACATACATAAATTGTATGTATGTATGTACACTGGATTTGTATATCTCATATACATAGTGTGTAAAGCTTTATATTTGTGTGTACCTGAAATTGTAAAAAATGATTCCATGTTTTATAATGATCATGGAATTCTCAGTTCTATTGTAAGCCCCCAAGTATCTACTTCACCTGTTTTTACATAAGGATTGAAATGTTATATAGTATTTTGTTAGTCATTTTGGTTATTAACTTGATGATGATTATTATTATTCCTCATTCACAAATGACTGCATAAATCTGCTTGATATACTTTCATGTATAAAAAGAATTTTCTGAAATTCTAAAAATGGTAGCATCATTCTTTTAATAGTTACACTGATTGCATGTGCAGACATAAGAACAAAAATGGGGAGGGGGAATTCTTCAGGTTGAAGTGACTGCTGATCCTGTTCATAACTTCATCTTTTATCATATTTAAGAATCTCTGATGTGCTTGTGTTTAACAGTAAGATGTTTTAGTCAGTAGAAATCCTTTTGTTATTGATATTCTTGCAATGATTCTTGATCCATTCATTACTTGATTCTTATTTCATGTTTTCCTTCATTGATATTAAGACAATGGAAATTTTAAATGTAGGAGTTATGAAAATGAATTTTGTGTGTATAACATAAGAGCTTAAATATAAGATTTTTAAAAATTGTATCAGAAAATGTAGGTTTTGTTTTGAAAAGTTAGAGGTTAAAAAATAATATCAAACTTTTTAGAACAAATGATTTATTCACCAGTTTAAAACTTAGTATAAAATAGAGGTATATCTTTCTCTCTCCCTCTGCTAGTTAAAATATTTTACTAAAATTAATATACAAATTAATAGTTGGAAGTTAAAAATTCCAATAATTCTACCATATGGGAATTAAAAAAAAAAAAAAAAAAATTGCAATAAAATATTAACAGTAACTTCCTTTTAATAGGTTAATGTAAAATGTTAATGACGAAAGGTACAAAAATAAAAACATACTTCAAGTTGTTTTTATTTTGTTTTTATTTTATTTTTATTTTATTTTTCAAAAATTATTTAAACAGAATATTGTTTTTATCACAATGTTTCAACCAATCTATTCGATAGTCTTCCTCATGTGTATCTAGAGCAGTGTTTCTCAAACTTTTTAAGCAATAGCACACCTAGGAGCAAATGAAAATATCATGTCATGCTTAGCAAAAACTTTAAAGGTTAAATAAAATATTTTTTTAAAAAAATTACGTGCACAAATATGAACTAACTTTATTTTAATGTTTCTATTCATTTATTTTTGCAGCTTATTTAGTGTGAAACTTGTGCCATGTGTTTTCACAATTTCTTCAATGCTGTGACAATATTTCACAGCACACTTAAGAGGATTGTGTGTCACAGCGGTTGAGAATCACCAATCTAAAGTAATGATTGAAAGAATGGAATATAAGGTGTACACTATTTCATTATCATTGACTCTTCTCAAAAATACTTTTAGATTTTCAAAATAAAGGCACCTTTTGTTTTATTGTGAATTTTTATTTTTGTGTTTGTTACAGTAAGCTTAGCAATATAGTCATCTCACCTCTAAGTTTGTTGCTATAAATTGCAAAGTCAGATTTTAGGACAAAGGGTTGCTTCTTAATTTTATAGACAATCATTTATACAGCAAGATTCTCTCAAATTTTTTTCCATACGCCTTTTGAGTGATATTGATACATTTTCACAAGTACTGAAATGTAACACTTGGGATGTGTCTGTAAGTTGATAGTTTAGTTCTCATCTTTCCTAAGGTTAAAGTGTATCAAAGTTAAATTGTCACTTGTATTAAAATATTCTCAATGCTTATGGAAGTCATAACCACTGAACCATCAAATCTGTCATCGACATAAAATAGCTCTGTTAATGAATAAGAACAGCATGCTCTTATGAATTGAATGAAGGGCTTTGTTGAACAATTGCAGGTGGCTACAGAATGTAGCAGATATCTGAGGAAGGCCAGATAGTATATTGACTGAAATGTAGAAACAGATATTGAAACTGATTTCAATTAATTCATGTATAACAGTTCTTTCTTTTGTTTCTTGTTTTTTTTTGTTTTTGTTTTTGTTTTTGTTTTTTGTTGTTTTTTTTGTTGTTTTTTTTGTTTTTTTTTTTTTTTTTTTTTTTTTTTGTTTGTTTTTTTTTTTTTTTTTTGTTTTTGTTTTTTGTTTTTTTTTTTTTTGTTGTTTGTTTTTGTTTTTTTTTTTTTTTTGTTTTTTTTTTTTTTTTTTTTTTTGTGTGTATAATAACAAAGCAATAGAAGTAGTATAGTGAATTATGGTTAAAAGTAGCTTTGAGTGAATTAAACCTGTAGGTCATAGTGAAGACCATCCTTCTTTGAATCTCATGGACTGGTGCTACAGAATCACAATGAACTTTATCCTGTAACAAAAACCACATGACTTGAGGAGCTTCAGCAACAACTAAAATGGATAGCACATATAACTCAAACAAAAAACAATGATATAATGAACTACTTCAAATAAAAGGTTAGAAAGGAAGCCCCCCATCAATACTGGAAAGAGTGATAAGAACTACTGGACTTGAGAAACCTATTTTCCTAAAGTTTTTTTTTTTTTTTTTTTTTTTTAAGAGAAAGATTTTATAAATTTCTACTGAAATCAGTACTTGCTGCTCAGTCAATGAATGTCAAATGTTTACTTATAAGGAAATGGCTAATATTGTCATTACCAATATTATTGTTAATCCCCCCTCCCAATTACATTGTAAAGCTTAAGATTTTTTTAAGGGAAAAAGTTGCATGAATCAAAGGTTTATTAGCAAGATGCGTCTTTGAGTTCAAACTCAGGGCCTTCTCACTCCTGTTGGAGGAACCACTCCGTATTGACCAACCATGTCTTTAGAGGTGTAGTTGTACTCACCATGTTTGGCCAATTGGTTGTAAGGATTTTTAACCCATAGTTGGAGTGGATGGCTGTTGACACTGAGGAACCCTTGTTTTTGTGGTGTACTTACTCTCCACACCAGACCAGGGTTTTAGTATCATGGAGCATTGTTACTGTGTCCCTATTGTGAGGTTATGAAACACCCCATTTAAAATATAGATACATCATTTAGTTTTTAATCTTGTTAGACATTGTCTTTCTGGTTCTGGATAAATAAGTGTTTGTCTTTGTTCATATAGGATATGTAAAGAAAATGTTTAATTTCAAAAAATTAGATTTAAGTTCCAATATTAAAAATGAATTTGTAAGTTTCAAAAATTAAAGTATGAAAAGATAGGTTTTGTTTCTTTTCAATAAACAAACAAAGCTTCTTGTATTTTACATGAATATTATAACTAAAAAAAAACAACAAAGCATTGCAGTTACTTGTGAAGAATTCAGGAAACTACTACTAGACTAATCATTTAAAAATTTGACTTTTCATATTCTAAATATTGAAGAAAACCATTTTGTGGGCTGTTCAAACACCACATCATACAAATAGAGAGTTAAACAAATATCTTGATCTGAACTTGAGAAAGGTAGCTTCCAATCTTTGATATACTGGAAATTCTGTATGAGTTTTTGGCCAGTATTCTCTTGTGAAAAGTAAATTTGAACCAATACAAATAGTAAACAAAGGTAAATAATGCTTGGACTCCAAAAAAAAAAATGTGTCTATTCTTGATTTGATTGTGGTCAATGCTTTTAAAATTTAAATTTTTTTGTTTTTGTAAAATTATCAAATTTCCTTAAAGTTGGTTGTATTTTAATAAGCCTAATGTTTCTGCAAGTAAAAATATCACTGAGTGGGATGATAGTTATTATTGGTTAGGTTTGTTTCTATGTTTCTTCCTCCTCCTCACTCTTTTGATACTTTGAATAAATTGATTAGTGGCTGTTTTTCTTACTTTTACTACTACCCACTTAGAAGGCATCTTCAATTAGAATGTTTGTTGTTTCTCTGCCATTCATTTAATTTTTCAATTAGTCTATTTATAAAGGGACTCTTGATCATAACATAATGCAAGCAAATTATTTTTGATAAAGTGGGGAAAAATATTTTTTTTAACATAAAAAAAAAAAAATTGTAAAGATATGTTAGGTTGAGTATAAGCAAGCTCTTAAGTGAAAAGGAAGGAAACATTAGAATGAAATTTAACTTTGTGGTTGGATATCATTGAACATGTTAAATTTATTTAAATTGATGATTTAAAAATAAAATTATGTAAAAAAAAAAAAAAATGTAAAACAACAAAAACAGTATCTTTATGGAATGTTTTCTAACAAATATTTTTTATATATTAGACCGCCTCCGACTTTTCAATAACAACTGAAGGCTTACAGCCACATTGCATTGAAACACTGATTCCCATACAATCACTAAAGTTAAGCCATATTCAGTCTGGTTAGTACCTAAATGGGTGACCACTTGAGAATACCAGGTGCTGTAAGCTTGGATGTAAGGGTGGTGTAATGAATAATGTCTTGGAATTATTAATTGGGCAGCTAAATTCCAATTTCCATTGGGTTTGTTATATTCAGTTATGCACAAATACCCCTGGGAAAGTTATGAATCCACCTCTTCTCCCCACAGATATGGGTTAATTAGTAAGACGTGTATCACTAAATCATTATCTTTAAAAAAATTCTTAAAATCTAAAAATATTTTCTAGCTTTAAATTTTTCTAACCTGCAAAAAGTTGATAAACTATAGAAAATGAATTGATGAATAACAACTGAATTGCTAGGTAAAAGTAGGGAGGTGTTACTATAGTGAATTTGAGATTAATCCAGCATGCATTTTATTTTATTCATGTTCAATATGGCTTATATTTCTGTGCTTTTGAAAATGGATGCTCTTTCTGATGCCTATCTATTTAAAGCTTGGTCTTGGCTGGTAGCCACTTGAATGAAGCTAGAGAAGTGCCAGGTTATGTAGCTCTTTGAAAGTGGTCAATAATTACTCGGGCACATTGGCAGAAATTTGCAAGAATACTCTGAACCCTCTACCCATTTTAATACAATTAAAATCCCAGGAGAAGAATGTCCAGTACTAAACACTCTGAAACATTTACAAAAGTTTTATTCATGTAGATAAAAAAAGCAGCATACAATTATTGAAAGCTTTGATGAATGTACTATGAATGACTAAATTTCTATTATATAAAATAATTGCTTATTCAGTTCTGGACTTTATCAAATTAATGTCATCCAATCAAGAGGCATGTATTTTTTCTTTCTCCCTTGTGAGTTAGGTATTTATATAACTTCCTCTCATCTGGGTGTCTTGTGTATCCCAACTTCATCTGGGTTCACTTCTTGTTTGTTATTTCTGAGTATGATGATAAACTGCATCTGGCAGCAAGGCAGTTTTGAGAAGCATGGAACCACGACTTAGTTGCTGTTTTTCCCAGGTCTATCCTGACCAGGGGTGGTAGCACCTGTTAGAGTCCCAGTTATGAAACCCTAAACAAAAAAACAAAACCCTATGAAAGTATAAATATACCAACAATACCTATTTATAGTAAAATTACCAACAATACATTTTATCTGTAGTTGAAAGCATACCATTGTGTTCAAAATATATTTAATTGAAGCCATAAAATTTTGTTCAAAATATTTAGATTTCAGCATTAAATAACCCATAGTGATTGATATGCTACTAAACAAAACCAACCATACCAAATCTTGGAGGCCTGATTCTGCACTTGGTGGCCTTGAGGATACCTCAAGGCTCCCATGTTGCTTGACATTCTAAGGTGACACCAAGTACAAAGGTTACTTTTGTGTCACTTAAGGTGAACCCAGTATATACTGTGGTCATCACAGATCAAGTCTTCTTAGATTCCTGATGGACATTAAATTCAATTCAGCCCCCCTCTGGTATTTTCTGGCATGAATCACATACTACAGTAAGAGAGAAACCAAGAAGATTACTTCTTGTACCCATTTGCTTAGAGACATTGATAGTAAAGATATGAAGATTTAGAATTTGGATGACATAAATTTCACATTGGTGAGAACCAAGATTTAATGAAATGACTACTTTCTAGTGACCACTGTCAGAAATGATCTCCTAATAAAATGACTGTTGAGTTCACTGACTGGTGTCCTTGAACAAAACAAATCGTTACAGGCTGAGTATTTGACATTTTGTCTCATAAAATAGACTGCAAGTTAAATTCTCCAGCAGATCACTGGAAGTTCAGCAAATGTTGCATGAATAAAGCAGATGGGTGAAGAAAGCTAGAATTTCTAATAAAATCTCATTTCTTGCTAATTAGGTTTTAGTGTAAGTGGATTTAGTCCGGTGAACAATAAACATAGCTGGTGCATTGGCAATAGTAAGAAGGGTTCAGTAAGTTTGGATGGTTTTATGTATGTTTCATTAGATTGAAGAGAAATATGGGTTCTTTACTAAATTATAGATAGCTGAGAAATAAAATGTATAATTTCTAAGGATTGGCATTTTTCATTTCAGTATTGATCTAATTTAAATATTTACTAAGGGAGGTAAGGTTAAATATTACAAATTTTGGTGAAATGATTCTTGAAATATTTATTCCATAAAATATTAATATAATAATGCTCTTTGTCTGGCATATAGTGAGCATCCAACTCACTATGGTGCTTATCTTTACAATGTACTAAAAACATTTGTGTATGTGTGTAAAGCTGAAAAATTTTCTTGTGATTGAAGGTTACATACTGTGCTCTTAAATAACAAATAAAACTGAAATACTGAAAGCATTAACAACATTATTAATCATCAATAATGATAATAATCAAAACCTTTTCCAGGTACATACCTCGACATGACTGTTGTTTTCATGTAATTTTGCATACCTTGTTTTATATTTTATTTTGATGAAATTTTTAATTTTTAATTTTATGACATTGCCACTTTTTTTTTTTTTTTTTACACACATGAACACAGTTTTAAAGTGTGTTATATTTATGGGTAAAAGTTCTCAATATTAGGGATAGAGTTTATGCAAATATATAAAAGTGAACACTGAGGTCATTAGGGAGCAGCAACAGACTTTTGTGCTTGAATGCAGTCTTCATGGTCTGAAGATTGTGTTCAAGAAGGAAACATTATTGTTTTAATGCATGCTATATTTATGGGTTAAAGTGCTCATATATAAATATAAAAGCATGAAACAGACTAGTTACTGGGTGTTGACTTCAATGTCTCTCTATCTCTTGTGTGTGTGTGTGTGTATATATATATATATATATATATATATACACACACACACACACTTCAGATCTTCAGTCTGAAGATGCAAAGAGTGAAACAGCAGTAGCATAGTGAAATAATAATAAAAACTGGAGGTGATATTGAAAATGACTACCAATCAGTTGTTAAATAGGGTAAGGAATGGTTAATAAATTTGAATGCCTCCAAAACAAAACTGCTTTCATTTAATCGTGCCCTAGACAACCTTTTCTGTCTGTCATTAGATGCTAACTTCCAGGAAAGCAGTTCTTTGCACCTTCTTTGGCTCATATACATTACATTAGATCAGTTGCTAGATTCGTTTTATATATTTGGTTGGATTGATATGAGTTTGTGACCCTGGGTTTCACGCTTTTGCGATTGTCAGACTGACAATCGCAAAAGCGTGAAACCCAGGGTCACAAACTCACATCAATCCAACCAAATATGTTAGCTCTATCTCTGATATTGAGCGCTTTCTAATAAATGCCGCAAGATATAATATATAAATAATTATAATATATATATATATATATATACACACACACACACATATATATATATATATATATATATATATTCTCTGCAAAATCCAAAGAAAAGTCTGTGATGTAATTGGCCCTAACCTGGCATTTCAACTTCAGTCACTTTCCCACTGCCTTGACATGTCTTTTTTCTAATTGGTGCCTCAGCCACATGAATTTAAGTGTGCTACAAGATTGGCATTTTAAGTTTGCCATTTTACTGTTGAAATAGATGTAATCATAAGCTCTATTCTAAAAGTTTCTTTACACTCACTTTGTAGAACTCTCTTCTGGTTTCTTGCTTTCCTGTCACCTGCAATCTTCAAAAATTTAAACGCAACTTCTATTTTCCTAAGAACAAGCTTCCAATTTTTTTCTTTATCTTCCTGCCTGAATCTTGTTCTTTTAGTGTCCTTTCTCCTCACTAAAGTCTTCTCATTTTTTGCCACTCTCAGTAACCCCTTGTGTCTTAGTGGTAGTATTGCCTTCCTTAGAGTGAATGATTAAAAAAAATCTTTAAGATAAACATTCTTAGTATTGCTGTATAGCTTAGGTATTGAGCTTTTTTTTTTTTTTTTAAATTGGCTTGGATGGATAAAGTCTGTTCCCATAATTGATTTTTATATATATATATATATATATATATATATATATATATTTATTTAAAAATTATAACATAAATATGTTATAAAATCACTACAAAAATAGCCATTTTGTTTCATATATATATATATATATATATATATATGCCTGGTGGAGTAATGGATTGTAGCTCAGATTGAGGAATCTGAGAGCAGTGTTCAAATTCATTAGAATCACTTACATGCTAATACCGTTGGGAAAGATATGAATCCATTTGTTCTTCCCCAGAAATGAGTAAATAGCAGGGCAAACTAGCTTCTTTTAGCCTTGGGTGGCAACCAGTTGAGAAAGACAACTCTGAATTCAAAAGGGTCGTTTAGGGACCTTGTGGCATACTATGTACCAGTTTTCTGTATTTAGCTCTTCAAAAAGTGTAGTTGGGTCTGCACAAGCCTTCATCACTATAATCAAATGATATGTGCAGGTAGTCTGGCTGCTTCTTCTAATGACCCACATACATCGAAAATATATATATATATATATATATATATATATATATATATTAATGGATTTATTTGTAATCTGACATTTTTCAATTACATCAAACTTTATTATAGTGTATATTCTTATTTGAAATAGATTCTACTTTTTTTGTATCCCTACAGATATATCACACACTAAGCAGATATGGGCTTTCTAGAAAAATATCTTAATCTGGAAGTGTTTTCTTTAAAAGGGAAAATAGGGTCTTGCTGTACAATGATGCTCTTTGTAGCTAAATGGTAAAGCACACCAGATCAAATGGGGGTTTCTCATACAAAGGGGGAGCACATTTTCTTTAGTGTATTGAGATTACTTGAATATGCAGGCCACTTTTTAATGTAAAAATACAAATGGGGAGCCTGTTTCAAAAATGAGCATTCGTTAATAATGTTTGAAGTAATGTATAGCTACTTTAAATAAGAAATTTTTATGTCAGTATTCTAATGAAAAATAATTTAAGAAATTTTATTCCAGTAGATATAATTGTTTGGTAATCTTTGCTGTCCCTGTATAAATCATGAAACACAGGTTGGTCAGCATTCAAGCAACAGTTAAGAATGGCTTCTTCCCCTTTTCTTTTT